GGTTGGTAAGAACACTGTTATTCCCACCCTACTGAAATGAAGTATGTATAGACACAGTACTTGTTTCTATTGTTGTTATGGGGGGGAAAGAATCCTAGATAAACATCATATCTTGGTGACCTATGTATTTTACTATATTGACAATAAACACTAATAAGTTTCTATGGGAGAGAAAGGGCACCAAAATTGGAAGAGTTCTTTATCTAGATGCAAAAAAAAAGACTAGAAATATTTCTCCTACATGGGTGTTTGATTTCTGACATTACATTTTTAAGGCATGGATATAGGGTAATTTCCATTATTAGCAATATTTGTCTCAAAGCTACTTTTGAAAAATTACACTGAGCTGCTTGAAATTCTACTAAATAACTGAAATACAGCCTTTGAAATTTTAGCCATTAGTAGTATATATAAATATTTAATGCAATGGATGCCATGATGTTAATATTTTTATATACAGTATAAATGTAGAAATATTAAAATGTGCTTCTGTCTCAGATTTTACATTTTTGTCTGAGAGAGAGAGAGAGAGAGAGAGAGAGAGAGAGAATGCCATTCTGAAATTCTTGACTTGGCAAGAGGAGAATCTGACCCCAAAGTCAAGCAGCATCCGAGGGAAAGGAGGTGGGAGTGCCCGTCTGCATTCCTGGGCCACTGCCCAGACACGGGCCCCCTGCCAGAGATGACTCTGGCATTCTGCACGGGAAACGCTGCCCATCCAAGGCTTTATTTTATTTGAGAAAGAGGAACATCTCTGCACAGACTGGCTATTTGAAACTTCGGGTGTATGAGAAAAAAAGCTGCCACTCGGTTTGTGAACCAAGGAAGACAGCAGGACCCTGGAAGAAATTTCTACATCTTTCTTGGTAAACATTAGAGGAGAGTAGTGCTGAATTACAATGAAAGAATAAATAAATATATGTGTGTGTGTGTGTCAAAATGTTGGGGTGCAAATATAGACAATGTCTAAAAAGAAGAAAGTAAGTTTACAACTTAGCAAACTCTTAGCATCCATTTACACTATATGTTTCTGAAGTATTACCTGGAAAGTTTTAGTCTTCTCCAGGAATGAGATTGATTAACGACCTCAAGATTGGATTATCAATGATATCGGAATCTAAAATGTTTAATTCTCTGAGCAGGAGTGTTTGACAGGTAAAATTCTGCACTTGCAGAGAACTTTCAAACTTGTGAAAAGTATCCTAGGAAAAGCATAACATCCTGCCTGCACTTTTCGAGGTACTGCTTTATTTTCTAAGACGTAATTAAAAGGCATGTAAGCGTGAACACTGAACAAAATCACGATTGACACCACTAAGATACTCCATGGTTATAATAAGTTTGTTTCTATTTAGTCCATCTATGTACTCATGGCCTTCTCTAATAAATGTGTACCCCTGAAAGTGCTTAGTAACAGTAAAGGAGAAAGCAACTGATCATTCTTACTTAAGTTTCAAATGTGCTTCTTCACACAGCTGCACACGCATGTGTACCCAATTGTTAGTTGCACCTGCTCCAAGTTAGCCATATTTCATAGAGCACAGGCGAGAATGACATTTCCAAGTGTTAATCTGTTGAATGTAAATCTGTGCTTTCTTTCAATAGTTTAGGACTCTTATGCTTTGTGCCACATAGGAGCCTCGTGTATACAATGGGGGCGATTTTGAATTTCCTTACTAGAAAACAAAGCTGTCTTTGACATCTAAAGTAAGTTATATTCTTCCATATTATTACTGAGTGATATTTTTCAATATTTATATAAAGGACTCTTTCATTCAACCAAACATTTTTTTTAAAGCGGAAACTTTTTCAAACTGGTGCAAGTTGCAAATAAGAGTTTAAATTGTTCTTATCCTGCACCCGCTATATCCACCCCTTCAAATGTCATGATGATTTTTGTTACTACCTGAAATCTTCAGTTTCTGAGCATTAAAAACAGCAATGATAAGAGGAAAATTACCTTCTTGAGATTATGAGCTTAAACTCCAGATTCTGCATGTGCAGCAAATCGGTTTCCAGAGATCACAGCCCTTTGGGTAGGAAACACCCTAAAACCTGAAGTTGGAGTAACTATACAGCTCAGAGAGGCATGACATGAACATTTTGTTTTATATCTCTGTTGTATGAAATTCCAATGTCTTGTTTTATAACCTGATTTCCTGATTTTTAAAGGAATGTATATTTATTCACACTTGTATTCTGCCAAGCATTAAATTAAAAGCGTCTTTAACAAATTAAAAGCAACTATATAGAATCTTGACAGGTAACTTTCTCTGCAGGGTTAGTCTCTGTCCCTCACTTGTTAAAAAAGTGACAAATGAGGTTCCCGTTTCCACAACACCCAAAGCTACCTCATTTGCTACTAAGATAGTTGCAAGTTTATGTAAATATAAATATTTCTTTAAGTCTAATGAAAATACACTCTACTTACAAAATTGGAGGTAAATGTTTTCAGAAACTTAAAGGTACTTAAGAAAGAAATTCAATAAAGTTTCTATCTTAGACTATCATGTTCTTTAATTAATTTTAACAAACTAAAATTTTTCTGTACAGCTACAACAAAAAGAATACATCCAAATGTTTTAAGAACCCACACTACACACTTCAGGAGTAAACAAAACTAAGTGAACTTTTGTGTCAGTCAGTGGTACATGAGTCATAACTTATTCTGGAAACCTGGCTACTTATAAAACAATCTTTACTCAAAATAGCTCAAAGATACAAAAAGTTTTTACAGATCTATCAAGAGCAAAGGAAAATATATACACCCACCTAAGTTTTTGGTGTTCAGGGCTTTGCAACTATTAACTTGCAAAAGAATCCTTTTATTTAAAACGAAATACTATATTCCTAAGAAGCAACAATTACCAGAAATCTCTGAGGTCCTTTAAATGTGATCACCCCTCCCTATCAAGCCAATGGGATTTTCTTCCTCCTTTGTTTTTTGTTCTGCATCTGCATGAACATGGCTGCTAATTATATCATCCTGGTAGCACATATGTCTGAATGGGAAAAAAAATCTCATGATCCTTATTGAGCATAAAATATTTCCTGGTATTCAAATGTGTATACTAGTACTTGCTTAGATTGAGCACTCCTATATTGCAGCAAATTCTATTTTGTTAGAGAACTTAGCTCTGATCAGAATTTCCGTTTCATTAGTGATGTAGCACCTTTCCTAAAACCCAGTGCATGTAGACATGCATAGGAACACACACACACACACACACACACACACACACACACATAAACCTTGAGCCTTATCCTGCTACTTTGTGTATTTAGCTTCCCTATTTGCATATTTATGTTTTTCTTAAATTGTTTAAGTTCTTGAAGAGTTTGTAATCACTCAAAACACCATATAGATCTAATGCCTACATTTGCCATAATAAAGCTCTACTATGTTAAATGGTTAAAGTTAAATTATATTTTTAAAACTGAAATTTAAAAGAGTATAAGAATGATATTTCCCACCCACTCATTCTCAGTTTTATGCTTTTACACAATGAATAAGCAAATGCTTTCTTTTCCAACTCATATATGAATATAAAAATGTTTTGAAAATGTTCATGCAATTTGGCATACTTAGCCTAATGTAGTTTAACAAAGTAAGCTCTCTTATTGTTCTGATCACCTTTATCATTAAGAGTAAAAATCCTTTATTTTAAAACATAAATTAATGTGTGGTAGAAAAAAATAAAGTGGTTTATACATCATCAAGAAAATACTACATTCTTAAAATTATATTGATATGTCTATCTTCTTTTTCTTAATTCACAGGTCGAAATATATGTCATAAGATAACTTTCCTGGAAAAGATAAACATCCTGAGATAATATACAAGAAAAAGAACTATTCAGCTAAAGACTGAACAAAACAATAACAGCAACCACCACTCATGACAACTGCTAACAAAGAACACTTAAGGAATTCTATCAGTTTCATTAGCAAATCCTTGCTCTTCTGAATACTTTACTGATTGGACTCTCAGAAATTTCCTTCAGTCTTGTCCTTTCAGCCTTTACGAAACAGTTGTTCGAAATGTAAGTGGCTATTCAGATTAATATATACTTTCCAGGGAAAGCTATTTTATAGCAGGAGCGAGCAAGTACCTCCTAGTTCAAATTAACCACTTCCAGTGGTCTATTTTTCACCTCTAAAGTGTTTTCAGCCCCTCTTTCTGTTGCCCTTAGGAAATTTAAATTCAGAGACATGGCACTTCCATTATTGGCTCCTTGCCTCTTTAAAACTGAACAACGTTCCTCAAAAAGTAGTACATATAATTCTCCACCCTATAGGATCAAACAATAGTATCTATTTCAGGAGCAATTACATGCATAATGTAAGACAGAATATTTCTTCCTTTGAACTGTTTGCAATAATTGTGATTTGAAGGCTACTGGTCCGGTCATTGGCAATGGTGTTGCTAAGTTCATCTAAGTATTTCTCTTCAATCTACATACTTTTAAAACTCAATGTGGCTTCCAGATCAAGCCACTTTAACGATACCATCTGCCCTACATAGTGGTTTGTTACAGCATTAGACTTATAAGACAATATATTCCGTGAAAAATAACACGTCAATGAAGAAACAAAGATCCTGCAAAAATAGGCGTATAGAAGTAAAAAAAAAAAAAAAATTCCACATTTCTCTGATACCTGTATTACATGTGACGATCACGTTATTACAGTTATGGGAATGCAAAGCATAAAAGAACAACAGCTAATCTTGCTTTGCTTAAATAAATTAAAGACAAGTTTAACCCGCACCCGCCAAACTGTCTTCCGAGGGACAGCAATAGGTGGGGGGTGGAAGGCTCACCGCTGTACCACACCGTGCGTCTCCCTGAAATCATTTTAAATATAGACACTATATCTGTCACCTTTTCTCTGTTACTTTTTCTCCCAATCTCATCCACTGCAGACCCTATACTGACCCCCACCCCCGCCCACTAGCTCAGAGGCGCGTTACAGAAGAAGAGGACCCAAGTGCCACTTACCAGTTGCATGCCACAGATAAAGATCAGCGTGCACCTGCCATTGCAATAACCCATGGTTTCCGAGACCCCTGCCACAGCCAGACTGTCCCGCGTCGGCCACCGTCGAGCCCCCACTTTATCCAATCAGATCGCCGGGAAGGACAGGCAGACCTGCCGAGGGCTCGGGGGCTCCGGGCTGCCGCTGCCAGCGTCCTGGGAACGGACAGGCATTAGGACCTGCAG